CACTGCATCCAACCACTTTAATGTTTTTTTAGAGATGGTGTCTCACTCTGTCACCCAAGTTGGAGTGCAGTAGCACAATCATAGCTCACTGCAGCCTCAAACTCCTGGGCTTAGTGATTCTCCCACCTCAGCCTCCTGAGTAGCTGCAACTACAGGTGCACATCACTGTGTCCATTTAATTAAAAAAAAAAATTTTTTTTGTAGGGATGGGGTCTTGCTATTTGCCCAGGCAGGTCTGTTTTTGTATTGTTTTGTTTTTTGCTTCATTTTTCTCTTTTTGGAGACAGTCTCGCTCTGTTGCCCAGTCTGGAAGGCAGTAGGGTGATCTCAGCTCACTGCAGCCTCCACCTCCAGGCTTCAAGGGATTCTCCTGCCTCAGCTTCCCGAGTAGCTAGCTGGGAGTACAGGCATGCGCCATCACATCTGTCTAATTTTTTTTTTTTTTTTTTTTTTTTTTAGTTGAAATGAGGTTTCACCCTGTTGGCCAGGCTGGTCTCAAACCCCTTGCCTCAAGTGATCCGTCTGTCTTGGCCTCCCAAAATGCTGGCATTACAGGCAAGAGCCACCTCGTCCGGCCTAGGACTGACGAGGTGTGACTTAAATGTGGGAGAAACAGGCTTCATCTCTCCATAGTCCTAATTCTAAAAGTCCAGGGAATTCTGGGTCTAAGCTACCTACAGTTTCCCCCTCACCAAGCCCTCCTCAACCCTTGCAGCACTAGCTAAATGCTTTCATTTTGGGGAGTGGAGGAAATCACTCAATCCCATAAGGTAACAAGATAGGGATTAAGTATTTACAGAAGCAAGGTTCACAATGGCCGATGGGCTACTGCCACAGGTGTGGTGACGTGGCAGAGGTAAGGGCAACATGGAGACTGTGAGGTGGTGTGGCTGCTGTGGCAGAGTGTCTGTCCTGATACGAGGTCCATGATGACACCCTGGGAATGACGAGGCAGCTGGGGAGAGGGGGAGAGTGACCATGAGGATATGATGAAGGTGACTGGATGAGGGTGAGGGTGACATGGTTTATTATTATTATTATTGAGACCGAGTCTCGCTCTTGTCGCCCAGGATGGAGTGCAATGGCGCGATCTCGGCTCACCGCAACCTCTGCCTCCCGGGTTCAAGCAATTCTCCTGCCTCAGCCTCCGGAGTAGCTGGGATTACAGACATGTGCCAACATGCCCAGCTAATTTTTGTATTTTTAGTAGAGACGGGGTTTCACTACCTTGACCAGGCTGGTCTTGAACTCCTGACCTCAGGGCGCCCACCTTGGCCTCCCAAAGTGCTGGGATTACAGGCGTGAGCCACTGCACCGGGCAGAGGGTGACATGGTTAATAACAATATTAGCTAAAAACACCATGTCAAGCTCAGCCTGCCACAAGAATAAACTCGCAGAATTGTCACACTCAGCCCTGATGTGGATGTCCCCACGTGCATTTTGCAGATGAAGCTGGGATTGGAAAGGTGCCATAAGGTAGTCAAGGTATCCAGAGGTGTAGTGGTGGGGCTGGGATTCTGACACTCCCCAGGTAATGGGCTGCAGTACCCTGTATGTTATGTGAGCTGTGATACAGGGAAATGACGAAGACACGGAGGGAAGAAAAATAACTGTAAGGCTGGGTGGCTCCTTATGGGGAAAGCTGGAAACATGAGGAATGGATGGTGACTGTCAGAGGAACAGTGATACCAAGGTAGGGACAAAGACATAAGGGGTAATGATGACATAAGGGCTGCATTAGCGCGATTTAAGAAGAGCGATGGGGACAGTAGCCATGCGAAGGTGACTTGGGGGTATGATGAGGGTTTAAGAGAAATGAGGATTTTATAAAGGAGAAATGGCAACAAAAGCAGGATGCAGGTAACACACGGCGATGACGCATTTACAGGGAGCGATTACGACCTATGGTGGCAAAGAGGGCTTAAGGGGAAGGAAAGCGAGTTAAGGGCGTTGATGGCGACTTTAAAGAGGGTGATGGCGACAGAAGGGGAGTTGTGACGATTTAAGTGAGACGAGACAGGAGAGGAATGGTGACATAAAGGGACCGAGGACGACATAAGGGAGGCGATGCATTATAGCGGGGAGGACAACACGAGGAGGGTAGCCGAGGCGCCGCGCCCCTAGATCGCACAGTACCTGCACTCCACGTCTCCCACTCCGGGACCCAGCCCCACAGGAACCTTCCAGGATATATCCCCGCCTGACCGCCCCCTAGCCGCGCGCAGGCGCACTACTGCTAGACAGCGGGCCCACGGGGGCCAGGCATGCGCCTTTCTCATTGGCCGCGCCGCTCGCTGGCGTCGGGCGGAGGAGAGCGCCCGGCGAAGGTGGGCGGTCACGTGACGTACACGCCCGCACTCCTGCTGGTGGCGGTGGGCGGTCACGTGACGGTTATGGCCGCACTCTCGCTGGTGGCGGCCTGGTGGGCTAGAGCGGCCGCGGGCTGGTCAGTTCAGCTTCCTGCGGTGAGGGGGTGCTTCCGGGGCGGGCAGCCCGGGCCGGGGGTGGAGTGTCTGACAGTTGGCGCCGCCGGGAGGGAGGGCGGGCGGCGCGAGTGGGCGCGGGCCCGGTGGGCCAGGTGAGGCGCGGGCCGGGGGTGGTGGGACTGGGCCGGTTGCGGTAGGGACGGGTGGCGTCCGGGGCTCTGGACTCAGTTCGGGCTCCGCTGTACGGCTTCGGACGTACGATTTGTTTCTCTGAGCCTCAGTTTCCTCCCCTGTGGAATGGGGGTTAGAATCTGACTGTATCATCGGCTTTATAAGTGGGAGTGAGAAGTCAGGTCGTGTACGTTGGATCCCTTAGCCCAGCTCCTCCGCATAACGCTCACTTCGTTACTATACTATTATTGTTAGTATTGATGTTTGCGCTTAGTATGAAAAATTGTTGGGTTTGGAAGCCGTCGGATTTTGGTTCAAGTCCCGCTCCACTGTGAGGCAGTGGGGCCTGTGTCTTCGCTTCCTTGAACCCCTTTTTTTCTCATCTGTACAGTGAGAGCAGATAGTCCCAGTATCATAGGGTCGTCTTGAGGATTCTGACGAAGTGTGTGTGTGTAGAGATTTTAAGCAGAGGGGCTGGTACAGTGAGAGCTCGTGGATTGGGACTATAATGATAATGATTCTGAGAGTCATTGGTGTAGCTGGGAATTCCATGGAAGTAGGGGGAGAAAGCTCAGAGACAGCAATAGGAAAGACTTAGGACTGGAGCTGAGAAAATCGACATCCTGCCGCTTACTATTTGACCAATTTTGCTGAGTCCTGAAGTATTAGTTTTTTTCTTTTTCTTGATCATGACTAGTGCATTTTTTCCCCCAGTAAATTAATTTGAGAAGGCAAATTTGCATTGCTGTCTTCTTCTTCTTCTTCTTTTTTGAGACCGAGTTTCTCTCCTTGCCCAGGCTGGAGTGCGATCTCGCTCACCGCAACCTCTGCCTCCCGGGTTCAAGTGATTCTCCTGCCTCAGCCTCCTGAGTAGCTGGGATTACAGGCATGCGCCACCACGCCCTGCTAATTTTTTTGTATTTTAGTAGAGATGGGGTTTCTCCATGTTGGTCAGGCTGGTCTCGAACTTCTGACTTCAGGTGATCCGCCCGCCTCGGCCTCACAAAGTGCTGGGAGCCACCGTGCCTGGCGCATTGCTGTCTTCAATGAAAAACTAGCATTGCTGGCCATGAGAGGAAGGAAAAGTTCAGGTAAAATACAATGGAAACTGAACAGCTTGTTACATTGTACGCTGAAATGGAAAGATAATTGAAAAAGGAATACTACGTATTCCCTTTGAATAGGAATACTGTTCAGAACTTGTACTGTGTGATTCCCTGTTGTCAGATCCCATCGACCCCCATCAAGTTGTCCTTATGCTTGTTCCCAGCTCACCCTTTGTATACAACTAGCATTAAGTCAGTGACTGTCCGTCCCACTGTTTCCCTAGATCACTGAAGATTTGTTTTATTTTGATGCACACTTAACATCGCACTTACCACCTGCTGTGCATCTTCGTTCTAAGGATTCTGTTTATTAACTCGTTTAATCCCTGTAACACCGTTAAGAATGGGTCCTTGGCTGGGTGCGGTGGCTCACACCTGTAATCCCAGCACTTTGGGAGGCCAAGACGGGCGGATCACGACGTCAGGAGATCGAGACCATCCTAGCTAATACGGTGAAACCCTGTCTCTACTAAAAATACAAAAAATTAGCTGGGCATGGTGGTGGTAATCCCAGCTACTTGGGAGGCCAAGGCAGGAAAATTGCATGAACCTGGGAGGCAGGGGTTGCAGTGAGCCGAGATCACACCGCTGCACTCCAGCCTGGGTGACAGAGTGGGACTCTATCTCAAAAAAAAAACCTTTTTTTTATTTTGAGATGGTGTTTTTTTATTTTTATTTTTTATTATTTATTTTATTTATTTTTGTTTTGAGACAAGGTCTCACTCTGTAGCTCAGGCTGGAGTGCAGTGGTGCGATCTGGGATTACTGCAACCTCTGCCTCCCGGGCTCAAGCAATTCTCCTGCCTCAGCCTCCTGAGTAGCTAGGATTACAGGTGTCCACTACTATGCCTGGCTAATTTTTGTAGAGATGGGGTTTCACAATGTTGGCCAGGCTGGTCTTGAACTCCTGACCTTGTGATCCACCTGCCTTGGCCTCCCAAGGTGCTGGAATTACAGGCATGAGCTACCGTGCTGGCCAGGAATGGGTACTCTCACTTTTTTTTTTTTTTTTGAAATGGAGTCTCACTGTTGCCCAGGCTGGAGTATAGTGGTGCAGTTTCGGCTCACTGCAACCTCTGGAGTGCAATGGCGTGATCTTGGCTCACTGCAACCTTCGCCTCCTGGGTTCAAGCAGTTCTCCTGCCTCAGCCTCCCAAGTGGCTGGGACCACAGGCACCTGCCACCACACCCAGCTAATTTTTGTATTTTTAGTAGAGATGGGGTTTCACCATGTTGGCCAGGCTAGTCTCAAACTCCTGACCTTGTAATCCACCCGCCTTGGCCTCCCAAAGCGTTGGGATTACAGGCATGAGCCACTGTGCCCAGCCACCTTTCTTTTCTTTTCTTTTTCTTTTTTTGAGGCAGAGTCTCGCTCTGTTGCCCATGCTGGAGTGAAGTGGCATAATCTTGGCTCACTGCAGCCTCTGCCCCGCCTGGGTTGAAGCGATTCTCCCACCTTAGCCTCCCGAGTAGCCGGGATTACAGGCATGCGCTACCATGCCCGGCTTATTTTTGGTAGAGATGGGCCTTCACCATATTGGCCAGGCCAGAAGGTCAGGTTGGTCTTGAACCCCTGACCTCAGGTGATCCACCTGCCTCGGCCTCCCAAAGTGCTGGGATTACAGGCATGAGCCGCCGTGCCCGGCTTTTTTTTTTTTTTTTCCCTTTTTTCAACAGTGACAGGGTCTCACTGTATCGCCCAGGCTGGCCTCAAAATCCTAGGCTCCAGAGATCCTCCTGCTTCGGCTTCCCAAAATGCTGGGACTACAGGTGTGAGTCACCATACCCGGCCTTACCATTCTTATTGTGCAGTTGAGGAAGTGAGGTCAGAAAGGTTAAGCTACTTGTTCAGAGTCAGGATTAGGATGTGGTAAAATTGGGATTTGGATACAGGTCTTGTAAGGGCTTAGCACATGGAGCCTGTTATGTGGTAATTCCTTGAGTTTTGGGAGCTGCTGTCTTTAAAATGACTATTATAATTTTCCTTATTCAGAAAGTCAGTGCTGGAGATGGGCTTTTAGGATTGTGGAGAGAGGAAATTGAATCCAGTAGGGTCTGTAGCACTTGGGGAAGAATACTTAAAGGATTCCGGTTAGCATTAACTGAGACATTGAAAAACAGACCATAGTACCTGGCTTGTAGTAATCCCTCAATCAGCATGAACCATAGCCATTGGACTGCCTGGAGTCCAAGTCCTGCTGCTGCCTTTACTTGCTGTATGATCTTGAACTCCTAGGCTCAAGGGATCCTCCTGCCCCTAAAGTGCTGGAATGACAGGCCTGAGCCACTGTGCCCAGCCTTTTGCTGTGTGATCTTGGACCTGCCATTCTTATCTGTAACTTGGGACTCATTTTTCCATTTTTCTGAGGGTGGTTGTGAGAAGTCACTGAGATGTGTATATGCTCAGTTCCTGGCGCATAGTAAACACTCAATGGGAGTTACTCCATGGGCATCAGAATCAGGAAGAACTTGTTTTTGAATCCCAGTAAGGTTAGTTGCTAGATGTGCCATTTGACAAATGACTGCACCTCAATGAGTTGGGGTTTTTCGTCCGTAAAAACAGGGCTAATAATAGTCCTCACTCACTGAGCTGTTGGGATGCATCTGCATGATGCTTGGCCCTGGTCCTGATGCATAGTTAGTGCTTGGTTTGTGAGATGTTCTGTCTGACTTACTGAGACCTCTCCGTGCTCTGTTCTTTGAGAGATGCATGTTGTATTTTCTTTTCTTTTTTTTTTTTTTTTTTTGAGACAGGTCTTTCTCTGTCACCCAGGCTAGAGTGCAGTGGCGCGATCTCGGCTCCCTGCAACCTCTGCCTCCTGGGTTCAGGCAATTCTCCTGCCTCAGCCTGCGGAGTAGCTGGGATTACAGGCACCCATCATCACGCCTGGCTAATTTTTGTATTTTAGTAGAGATGGGTTTTCACCATGTTGGCCAGGCTGGTCTCAAACTCCTGGTCTCAGGTGATCCACCCGCCTCAATCTCCCAAAGTGCTGGGATTGCAGGCATGAGCCACTGTGCCTGGCCTGTGTTGTCTTTGGCCAGTGGTAAAATTCAGAAGGGAAATTGGATCTAAGAGTGTTGAGTACAGGACAGAGTGATGTCTGTGGTCATACTCATCAGTAAGAGATTGAGCAGAAGACCAAGTGCCTGTAATCCCAGCACTTTGGGAAACTGATGTGGGCAGATCACTTGACGTCAGGAGTTCGAGACCAGCCTGACCAACATGGTGAAATCCTGTCTGTACTAAAAATACAAAAATTAGCTGGGTGTGGTGGCGGCTGCCTGTGGTCCCAGCTACTCGGGAGGCTGAGGCTGGAGAACCGCTTGAACCCAGGAGGCGAAGGTTGCAGTGAGCCGAGATCACGCCACTGCACTCCAGCCTGGGCGACAGAGTGAGACTTTGTCTCAAAAAAAAAAAAAAAAAAAAAAAAAAATTGAGCAGAAGCCAGGGAAGGGCAAGATTAACAATGCTGAGGATAGAGAAGAGAGTCTCATATGTAGGGACTTAGGGAAAGGTCACGAAGTAGATGGCAGTGGAGCAGAAGGAAGGAGAGGTTGCCAGGAGGAGACAGGTATTCCAGGCACAGGTGACATCCTCTAAAAACGGGAGGCCGACAAAGCACCTGTGTGGGGAAGGAGGCCTGGACGATGAGATCAGGCACAACACCTCCAGGGTGCTTAGTAGGCACCAAGCACTGTCTCAGGTGCTTTTATTCATAGAAACTCATCTAGCTCTTACAGCAGTCCTCTAAGGTAAGTCATGTTTGCACCCTCCCAATTCACTAATGGGGACACCGTGGCCCGACTGGTGAAGTCACTTGCCGAGATCACACAGTTCATAAGTGGTAGAGCTGGATTTGAACCCTAAGTCTGGTTGCAGAGTTCTTACTCTTGACCACTCCATCATACCATCAAAATCTGTTAGGGGATGGGACAGATTTTATGGGATTGTAAACAGGAAGGTTCTGGGACAGAGGGCTTCTGCACCTCATGGAGGGGTGAGGGAGGATCAGTACTGGGGGCTGCGGTAGATAGAAGGGAGCAGAGTGAGGAGAGAGGGCAGAGGACCCGGGTCAGGGAAGAGGCAGAGGGCTAAGTAGGAAGTTTTGGCCAGGGCAGTGTAGGCCCCGTGATCTTGGAGTCGGATAGCGTTGAATCAGCACATGAAAAAGTTACTTCCTTTAGTTTCCATTCAGCACTGCTTTTATTGGAGATAGTCTCCACTGGTGCTAAAATGTCTTTAACACCACCTTTCTACCATCTGCTAATGTAAGGGAAAATTGGTTTTCCGTGTCTTCTCTGGGACGCCTCATGATCAGGTCACCACTTCTGTGACCTGTCTCCTCCCAATGTCCTCCCTGCTCGCTCCACTGCAGCCACACTGGCTCCTTGCTTTCCCTCCAGCATGCCAGGTGAGCCACTGGCTCAGGGCGCTGGACTTGCTGTACCTTCTTCTGGAACACTTTTTCTCTGTAAAACCACATGGCTCATTGCTTCCCTCCCTTTAGCTCTCTAAATGTTGCTTTAGGTCTTCCCTGATCACTCTGTTGAAAATTACAACCACTCCCTTCCCAGGTCCTCCATGTCTTCTCCATGGCACTAAAGGCTTCCTAATGTACTCTACTAACTGTTTGGCTTGTTTACTCTCTGTCTCCCCTGTCGCCTGTACCCAGCTAGCTGCTAAGTTCCATGGCTTTGTTCACCTTGGTATCCCTAAGAGTGCCTTACACATAGTAGGTTCTCAGTGAATAGGGTTTTGGGTTTGTTTGTTTGAAGACTAGTCAAGTGCAGTAGTGAGAAAGGGAGAAAGAGTAGAATAAGGAGTTCCATCTGTAAGGGACTATGAACAGTCAATTGAGATAATTCATTACCTTTGGACCAGCCTGTTTTTTTTTTTGAGACAGGGTCTTGCCATGTTGTCCAGGCTGGTCTTGAACTCCTGGCCTCAATTGATCCTCCCATCTTGGCCTCCCAAAGTGCTGGGATTACAGGCATGAGCCAGCACGCTTGGTTGGTATTTATCGTTAAAGTTTTGGCCAGAAGTGTCTTATTTCTGTTGCACTCCTTTTTCTAGCCAACCTTTTGGGGTGTGTGGGAATGGAACTGTGGACATTTGCTGTCCCTGGGCCTTGTCTCAGGCACAAGCGATGATGGTGGTGGCAGCTCTGTCCCAGGCTGACTTCCTGCCAGCTGCTCCAGGCTATTCCTGGGCGGTGAGCCTCTAGCCCAGGAACGTTCCTCTGGCATGCAGGCAGACAGGCACAGGAGAGGGACAGACACTCACAGCCGGCAGCAACTCATGGGCCCTCTCCTCTCTTCTCTTTCAGGCTCCAGGGAGCAGTGTCAGGGCCAGGGAGACGATGGTCTCCGTGACTATGGGTGAGTCTGTGGCCTTCTCTCCAGGGCCCCCTCTCCCCACTGCCCTTTTTGAGGTATGGCCTTGGTGGGGGACGAGGGGGTGGGGGAGGGAGGGCTGGGTCATTGGCAGGAACAGCTGTACTCTGAGGACTGTGGCAGGGTGGGGCTGGAACTGCTTGAGGCCTGCCCGCCTCCTCGCCGGATCTCTCTCCTGACTGTATAGTTTAGCTGTGAAGAACGTGGGTTAGGCCGGGCGCGGTGGCTCAAGCCTGTAATCCCAGCACTTTGGGAGGCCGAGACGGGCGGATCATGAGGTCAGGAGATCGAGACCATCCTGGCTAACACGGTGAAACCCCGTCTCTACTAAAAATACAAAAAACCAGCCGGGCGAGGTGGCGGGCGCCTGTAGTCCCAGCTACTGGGGAGGCTGAGGCAGGAGAATGGCGCAAACCCGGGAGGCGGAGCTTGCAGTGAGCTGAGATCCGGCCACTGCACTCCAGCCAGGGCTACAGAGCAAGACTCCGTCTCAAAAAAAAAAAAAAAAAAAAAAAAAAAAAAAAAAAAGAACGTGGGTTATGAAGTCCAGCAGGTCTCCCACGTGGCCTCACAGAGCCTTGGTTTTCTCACCTGTGAAATGGAAATGATATTCCCACATCCTGGGATTAAGGAGATTACAGCATGTAAAAGCTTGGGTGTAGTTCTAAACAAACCTTAGGTGTTGTTATTATCACAAGCCTTAAGCTCTGTATTTGGGGATTGCTAAGGCACAGATATTAGTTGGTGGCTTTGAAAAATGTTGACATTTATTATAATGTGGAAAAATATATTATATATATATAATTTTTTGAGATGGAATTTCACTCTTGTTGCCCAGGCTGGAGTACAGTGGCACGATCTCGGCTCACTGCAACCTCCACCTCCCAGATTCAAGCGATTCTCCTGCCTCAGCCTCCCAAATAGCTGGGATTACAGGCGTGTGCCACCACGCCCAGCTAATTTTTGTAGTTTTAGTAGAGACAGGGTTTCACCATGTTGGCCAGGCTGGCCTCAAACTCCTGACCTCAGGTGGTCTGCCCTCTCCAGCCTCCTTAAGTGCTGGGATTACAGGCATAAGCCATCATGCCTGGCCCATAAAATATATTTGTATAGTTTTAAGAGTGATTAAGAAGCAAAGTCTGAGTATATCCTTTTTTTTTTTTTGAGACGGGCTCACACTTTGTTGCCCATGCTGGAGTGCAGTGGTGTAATCTCGGCTCACTGCACCCTCCGCCTCCCAGGCTCAGGTGATCCTCCCATCTCAGCCTCCTGAGTAGCTGGGACTATAGGGACGCACCATCATGCCCGGCTAATTTTTATATTTTTTGTAGAGATGGGGTTTCGCCATGTTGCCCAGGCTGGTCTTGAATTCCTGTGCTCAAGAGATCCTCCTGCCTCAGCCTCCCAAAGTGCTGGGATTACACAGGTGAGCCACCGCGCCTGGCCTGTATTCCTTTTTTTTTTTGAGACAGAGTCTTGCTCTGTCACCAGGCTGGAGTGCAGTGGCACGATCTTGGCTCAATGCAACCTCTGCCTCCCGGGTTCAAGTGATTCTCTTGCCTCAGCCTCCCGAGTAGCTGGGACTACAGGCGCACACCACCACGCCCAACTAATTTTTGTATTTTTAGTAGAGACGGGGTTTCATCATGTTGGCTGGGATGGGCTGGATCTCTTGACCTTGTGATCCACCTGCCTCGGCCTCCCAAAGTGCTGGGATTACAGACGGGAGCCACCGTGCCTAGCTGCCTGCATTCTGTATAATTCCATTCATATAAAGCATAGAAGCAGACAAAATCAGTCTATTTTGTTAGAAGGTGGTGGTTGCATCTGGGAAGGAGTGAGTAGAGACTCCAAAGGGAATATAAGGGGTTCTGAGGTGTTAGAAATATCTGATTTCTTAATTTGGGTGCTGTTTACATAGGTGTGTCTGATTTAGGAAGATCTATTGACTTGTGCACTTTTTTTTGCATGTACATTATAGTTCCGTAAAAAGATTGAAAAATCCAAACCCTGTTACCCATCCAGATCAAAAAAAGAGAACATTGTCAGCCCCATGAGAGTCCTACCCCAATCACACTCCCCTCCCTTCTCCATATGGAATAAACCATTTTGTGAATGTCTTTTCTTGCCTTACCTACCTTTTTTTTTTACAATGGAGTTTCGCTTTTGTTGCTTAGGCTGGAATGCAATGGCGTGATCTTGGCTCACCGCAACCTCTGCCTCCTGGGTTCAAGCGATTCCCCTGCCTCAGCCTCTGGATCGAGTAGCTGGGATTACAGGCATGCCCCACCATGCCTCACTAAATTTGTATTTTTAGTAGAGATGGGGTTTCTCTATGATGGTCAGGCTGGTCTCAAACTCCTGACCTCAGGTGATCCACCTGCCTCGGCCTCCCAAAGTGCTGGGATTACAGGTGTAAGCCACCACTCCCAGCCTTCCTTGCCTTTATAGTTGTATTATCAATGGGACATTCCTATTCTATAGACTTTGGTTTTGAAATTACGTGAATGAAATCATACCTTGTGTTCTTTTGTATCTGGCTTCTTTTGCTCAACATAATGTCTAAGGGTCACCTGTGTTGACTTTCTTTTCACTGCTGTATAGTATTTCACCTTGAGAGTGACCACCATGTGTTTATCAATGCTGCTGTCAGTGGATATTGCATTATTACTGGGTTGGGGCTGTCACAGACAAACTACTGTGAATATTCTTGTATGTGTCTCCTGGTGTGTGCAAAAAGCCACATCTCATTGATTCCAAGACTCACATCATTGCACAACTTAACATTTCTGAAGTAGGGGTATATCTTATTGCCGGTGCCTTATGACAGTTTAGTTGACTGCATGTTTTCCTTCCTTAGCAATACATGAAATGATGGTGTGTGCTGAATGTGGGGACTCTTTCCATTCCTCAAACACTGGGTTTCAGCAATCTTTTGGTTAAATTCACAGGCTTTGCCTGGTCCCTGTGAACTGATTAGTCTTTACAGCTAATTGATCACAACCAGTTACAGATTTATTTGTTCCTTCTCCCTTCCCACTGCTTCACTTGACTAACCTTAAAATCAGTCAGTCAATTAATCAATCACAGGCTTTGGCTCAGAGAGCTACCCACAGCCTACGTGGTACTTTTTTCTCCCCTTAATAACAGCTTAGTTTAGGTATAATTCATTTATCATACGTTTTACCTAGTTAAGGTGTACAATTCGATGGTTTTTATATTCTCTCTTCACAGAGTTGTGCAGCCATCACCATAATCCATTTTAAAACATCTTTATCACTCTCTCTTGAAACTCCATACCTTAGCAGGGTGTTGTGGCTCACGCCAGTAATCCCAGCACTTTGGCAGGCTGAGGCAGGTGAATCGCTTGAGTCCAGGAGTTTGAGACCAGCCTAGGCAACATGATGAAACTCTGTCTCTATAAAAAATATAAAAAATTGCTGGGCACTGTGGCTCACGCCTGTAATCCCAGCACTTTGGGAGGCCGAGGAGTGTGGATCACGAGGTCAGGAGTTTGAGACCAGCCTGACCAACATGGTGAAACCCCGTCTCTACTAAAATACAAAAATTAACTGGGCATGGTGGCACGTGCCTGTAATCCCAGCTACTTGGGAGGCCGAGGCAGGAGAATCGCTTGAACCCAGAGGTGGAGGTTACAGTGAGCCGAGATTGCGCCTCTGCACTCCAGTCTGGGTGACAGAGTGAAACTCCATCTCAAAATAAAATGTGTGTATATATATGTAACTTGTGTGTGTATATATACAAAAAAATAGCTAGGCCTGGTGGCACGCGCCTATAGTTTAACTACTTGGGAAACTGAGGTGGGAAGATTGCTTGAGCCCAGGAGGTTGAGACGGCAGTGTACTATGATTGTGCCACTGCACTCTGGCCTAGGCGACAGAGGGAGACCCTGTCTCAAAAAAATTAAAACCCCATACCCATTAGCAGTCACTTCCCCGTCCTCCTAGCAACCACTAATCTACTTTCTCTTTAGATTTGCCTGTTCTAGACATTTCATATACATGGAATCATTATGTGGTGCTTTTTGATAGTTAGAGGTGCATGCTTCTGGCCAGTGGGACCCAGGGCCCTATGGCTTAGCAGGTGGATAGTGCCTGTGCAACATAGGGAAATGGTACCTCTTTCCTGTGGCCTGGCAGAGGCAATCCTAAGGAGCTCCTCGCCAACCTCAGTCCCCAAGGGCCAATCAGCACCCGGGGTAACTGGCCTGTGGCTGGCTGGGCAGGGGCCTCCTTGGAGATGTGACCCATGGGGCTTCACCTGAGCCCTGCACTGCCACTCATGTAACACCTGACCCACAGTGTGTCTGTTTCCCTGCTCTGAGTCTCTATTGTCTTAAAAGCAAAATGGGTGAGGTAATAACAGGTTTCTTCTATTCTAAAATAGCATGGATTGTTGGATGTACTGAGAAAGAAAAACAGTTTGCTAATTAAACCATGGCACACCATCAGTCATGAAGTAGATCCTAGTTTCGGAGATGTCAAAATGTGAAAAAAAAAGTTCTGCTTTGAATCAGTGGTCTTAGCTACCTCCTGGCCTGTCAGGCTGGGGTCAGTTTGAGGGTCAAACCCACCAAGAAGCCAAGAAAATTTAGAAAGAATAAAGTTTCATAGGTGGGGTCTGCCTGGTCTTGGCTGTGGCTCTGTGTTTAGTGGTGATGGGAGTAATAGTAGTAATAATAATAATAATAATAGCTGACATGGTTTGAGGATATCCTCTGGGTTAAGCATCATTTGAAGCCTTTTATATGGAGTTTCTCATTGAGTCTGCACAGTGATCCAAGGACACTGGTGCTGTTATCACTAAAATCTCAGCTACACAAGGGCTGGGACTTCATCTTGTGCCTTGTGGTATCCCCAGTGCGTAGGACAGGACCTGTCCTTTGCCAAATGCTGGGTAAACACTTGTCAAATCTGTTATCCCGGGTTTACAGATGAGGAAACCAAGGCACCAAGAGTTAACTTACCCACAGTCCCTCCATAGGGAAATCGCAGGGTTAGGATTCAAACCCAAGCTCCGAAGTCCGTGTTAGTGACTTCTGTGCCTCTCTCTGAGGGAGGTTTGCTGCTGTGGCGGGTAGGGGCTTGCCAAGGCTCGTGGGCTGGCTCTGTGACACTTCTTTCCAACCACCTGTGGATCCTGTCATCCTCTGGGCCTAAGCTGGCTGATAGGGACTAGGGCAGAGAACCCAGAGTCCCAGTTACCCTACATCAGTCATGGGCCCAGCATGTGTAGTGATGCAGAGAGCCAGCCCTGGGGTGGGGTGGAGCTGTAAGGAGAAAGGCTGTGGTAAGGGTTTGGGAGCTCTGCCCCTTGTTTAGCGTCGTTGCCCAACCTTTCCCTGCCTCATTTTCCTCGGCAACTCAGGGGAGTCTTAATACTGCTTGACTCACAGGGTCAGGAAGGCTCAGTTCCATCATGTGTGTGTGGAGCACTCCACACAGGGCCTGGCATGGGAGGAGCATTTAATTTGTGGGAGCTGCTGTGATTGTGGTTTTGCTAATGCTATTCTCTAAAGAGGATGGTGTGAATAATGAGCCCTGTCCAACCCCACAGCCACTTCCGAGTGGATCCAGTTCTTTAAGGAAGCCGGCATTCCTCCAGGACCTGCTGTCAATTATGCCGTGATGTTTGTAGATAATAGGTGAGGAGACTGAACTTGGGGATGGGGTGGTGGGGAGCTGACTGGCCCACCCACTCTGGCCCACCTGGGGCCTTACCACTGACCTTCCCCTGCAGGATTCAGAAGAGCATGCTGCTGGATCTCAATAAGGAGATCATGAATGAGCTGGGCGTGACCGTGGTGGGCGACATCATCGCCATTCTCAAGCATGCCAAAGTGGTGCACCGTCAGGTGGGTGCTGTGCCCAGCCCCTCTGTCTCTGGGTTTGGCATGGAGGCGGAGGTTTAGTTGCAGAGCCAATGGGAGGCCTGGCAGCAGAGGCAGGCCGACCTGGGTTCCAGGGCTGGTTTGGCCATTTGCTGTGTGACACTGGGCACATGGCCCAACCTCTCTGAGCTGTATTTTCTGCATCTGTGAAAGAGAGGCAAACCTGGCCGGGCGCGGTGGCTCATGCCTGTAATCCCAGCACTTTAGGAGGCCGAGGCGGGCGGATCACGAGGTCAGGAGATCA